CGATGGAGTAGGAGATTTGGCCGTTGGGCCCCAGGTCTGGGTCGGAGGCGCTAACTTGAGCGATGGAGGCTCCAGGAGGGTTGTTTTCTGCTACATAGACTACATAGGAGGCCTGGCGGAAAATTGGAGCATTATCGTTGACGTCTCCAATGTTTAAGGTGACCAATATGCTGGAGGAAAGGGGCGGTTTGCCCCTGTCAGTGGCAGTGATGGTGACATTGTACTCCGGGGTCAGCTCTCGATCCAAGTTCCTGTCCGTTACCAACTTATAAGAATTTTTAGATGAAGAGATGATTTTAAATGGGACTTCACCTTCTAATCGACAATTAACCTCCCCATTTTCCCCAGAATCTTGATCATGGATTTTGATCAAAGCAATTAGTGTTCCAGGTACTGCATTTTCTAAAATCATTTCAAGCAGAGAATGAAATGTAACTTCTGGGCTATTGTCATTTTCATCTTGAATGTTAATTTCAACAGTACATTGTGAGACCAGTCCTCCACCATCCCGTCCTTCTACTAAGAGAGAATATTCTTTAGTGTCTTCAAAATCCAGTACCTTTTGAGTCGTAATTTCCCCACTCTTTGAGTTTATACTAAAGACTTGCCCGGTTCTGTAGAAAGAATAAGTAATTTCTGAGTTGATTCCCTCATCCTGGTCCATGGCTGACACTTGCAGTACAGCGGTGCCTGGAGGCACATTTTCCCGAAGGCTGACTCTGTACACTTCTTGGTTGAATACAGGGGGATTGTCATTGGCATCAGTGACCTGAATCCGTAGTTCAGTGGTGCCACTTAGGGGTGGATTTCCACCGTCCAAGGCAGTCAGGATTAAACGATGGAAACTCTGTTGTTCCCGGTCTAAGGTTTTCTCCAATATCATTTCCGGGTATTTACTACCATCTTGTTTCTCTTTATTTATCAGTGAGAAATTAGGACTTGGAGAGAGTTTATAATTCTGTAGAGAGTTTAATGCAATATCTGCATCTTCTGCTACTTCTAATATAAATCGTGTGCCTGGCTGAGCAGACTCACTTATTTGCAGATCAAAGAAAACGTGCGCAAATTTTGGCGCGTGGTCATTAATGTCCTCGATTTCCACACTCACGTGGTAAAAGTTCAGTGGATTTTCAGCAACAGCCTCAAAATCCAGAGCACAAATTGGCTGC